CAATATAATATGCTCAGTTCACAAAACTATCACACTGGGATAAGCATCTTAATTTTTTTTTAAGTGACATTTATTTTCATTTGAATCCAATAACATTTGCAATTTAAGGTCACATGGCTTAAATAAAGATCCTTATCCTTGTGTTAAAACTATATGAATTGAACCTTGTGTATGTGTAATCTTTTAATTAACACCAATAGAGCTGAAAGGTGGCCAATGCAGAATGGTATCATTAATGGCAATGCAGAAAATCTGATGTGAAAGATGGAAATCTAATTTTAGTATCCAACACTGCCCTATGAGGGACAATAATGAAATAAATTTTCTTGCAAAGAATTTAATTAAAATTATTTCCAGGAAAAATAACACTACAGCAGTCAAGATGATACCATATGATTATTAAGTTTCCTGTCACTAAGGAATTTGTTGCAAACACATAATGAAAAAGTGACTGTAAAGGGTATTAAATTACAGTAAGGACATAATTTCAATATTTCATTTTAGTTTAGGCTCTTATTATAACTACACAGCTTAATTTATATTGAACACAAAAAGAATTGCTATAGCAAGGCAAAAACTAGGCAGACAGGTAAATGACCAACTCCATATTAAAGTCTACATCTGTAAGGCTGGCCATGCATGATTCATTTTCTTTTGTTCAACCAGTGGCTTGAATAAAACAAAACAAATCAATTCTCCCATCCACACATTCAAGAGAGAGGGGGGAATCCCTCCTACAAGTTATTGTATTCTGACAGCAGGGAGACTTCCCCAACATCAGAATACGCTCATCAGCATTGGCACTGATCAAGCAAATATTTTCTAGCAGGCAGGTTGTACAGAAATTGCTAGAGAGATCAACTTCTGTACAACCAGCCTGCCCATAGATGGATTTAACCTCCCTAATGGTATTTCGAGTGTAGCTCAGGGTAAAATTTCTATACCAAGAGTGGTAACCCCGAGCTACACTCGGGCTTACCATGCAGCGCTGCATAGGGATTCCCTGCAGCACTTACCTTGTCCTTCACTCCCGCGATGTGTCCCCTGCAGCGTCCCCGGCCATCTCCTCCGGCCGATGCTGGCATCCGGCTTCTGTGTTCCGGTCCCTGTGACGTCGGGACGTACGGGAGCCGCCGCCGGCGGCGGCGGGAAATTTGAAAATTTAAAAAAATGTCATTTTTTTCAAAACAATTTTTCATAGTAAAACATTGCTGTTTCAACCCATTTCACATACATTTTGTCCCTAGTGCTCTGTCCTGTCCCCTGTCTGCATTTTGAATGTTCTTTCTGCCTGGAAACTTAGAAAAGTCCACGACGTCCAAAAAGTGTCCCTTTAGGTCAAAAGCGGGTTTAGACCAGCTAGAGAACAGCGATAGTAAATCAGAACCACTTGCAGAATTGAGTGATAATGATTCGTGGGGAAATTCGTCATCAGACACTGAAAACAATTTTGCGACTTTGCTCAGCAATGTGCGAACTTGGCGCTATATTTCAAATTTCAGTGTTTTTGGTTTGATTACATTATTGAATTAAATGTAATATTATTATATTATTATTTTTTATGATTATTTATTTTAAATTATAATTTTTGATTTTGTGTTTCATATTTTATCCTCAAACCCGGGATGTTTAATAGACTCTTGTTCGGACAGATTTCAGTGAGTTATTCCTAAAAATTACAGCCTACAATAAAAAAAAACTACATATTTCCATGCAGAATAATGGTACAGCTTTCAGCACCAAAAATCTGAAATAATCATACCGTTAGGGAGGTTAAATGTGTCTGGTCCGTGCTGAACTGACTGAATTTCAATTCATCTCTGGTCAGCTTAAGCACACATATTCAATCATGCCTTCATTTTAAAGCTCTGTTCATTTTTCCCTTTGTATGTTACATGTAGACATGTGTGGTTTGTTTAATTCCAAATCAAATTTTAGATGAATTTTGTTGTTTTTCAGAGATTCGGATGTATCAGAATTCTGAATTACAAAAATAATGTTTTTAAACAAATCCAAAATATCGAAACAAAATTCGACCAAAATACAATTCAAAAACAATTTCAAATTCGAAAGCAAAATTGAACAAACATTGGAAAACAAATTTAACCTCTTTCTGCCCGGCCTATGGCCGAATGGCGGCCGGTAAAAACCCTTACCTTTCTGGGTGGACGCCATATGGCATCCTATCTCGGACACGGCCGATGACAGATCTGAGTACCGCCCCACGTTGCTGGTACCATGTGACCTGCTGTGACCAATCACAGCAGGTCACATGACAGTTGTATACAATGCATGACTTCATTCATGCCATCCATTGTATACTAGTGTGTCTAGCTGTGAATGGCCACAGCGATCACATGCACGAGCTGGGCCAATCACAGCCCAGCTGTGTCATGTGATTAGTAGTGGCCAAATCACAGCTAAGCACAAAGAAAAAAAAAACCCTGAATGAATCGATCTCATTCAGGTAAATGCTTGCTTATAGCAAAGTAGCTATAAGCAAATTGCGTAAAAAAAAAAAAAAATTGTACTACTTTGTACTACTTTGGTCATAGTGAAATATGAAAAAAAAATCTTAAAAAAAAAGAAAAAAAAATGTAATAAAAAATTAAAAATAATAAAATTAAAAAAAAAGATTTTTTTTTTCATACTGTCAACAGTCAGTGTCCCTGTTCACCGCCATGCCAGTTATATGATGATGCTGTACTGCACTGGTGACAGTATATAAAAAAAAAATAGTGAAAATAATTTTTTTCATTTTTTCTTTTTCAGAAAAATTATGACAAAAAAAATACAACTTCAAAAAACTCGCCATGCCTCTTAAGAAGTACGTCGGACTGTCTACTCTGCAAAAAGGGGGTCATTTGGGGTATATCTGTACTGTTCTGACATTCTTGGACCGCAAGAAATTAGATTGGCCGTCAGTACTTCAGGATTGATCAATATTCAGATATATCCCATAGTTTGTGAACTCTATAACTTTCCGACAAACTAAATAATACATCCTAATTTGGGTTATTTTCACCAAAGACATGTAGCAGAATACATCTCGGCCTAAATTTATGAAGAACAATTATTTATTTGCAAACTTTTATAACAGAAACAAAGAAAAACGTGGGGGGGTTTTTTCAAACTTTTAGGTCTTTTTTTGTTAATTTAGCAAAAAATAAAAACCCCAGCGGTGATTAAATACCACCAAAAGAAAGCTCTAGTTATGTGAAGAAAATGATAAAATTTTAGTTTGGGTACAATGTTGTATGAGCGCGCAATTGTCATTCAAAGTGTGAGAGCGCTGAAACCTGAAAAATGGCCTGGGCAGGGAGGGGGTAAAAGTGCCCGGTAGGGAAACGGTTAAAGTGCAAGTTCTACTTTAACGACTGGTCCCCTGCTGCCTGTTAATGATTGGCACATTTGGGGAGTGGGGGGAACAGGTCCCTAAGATTGGCAGGTACCCGCTCCCTTTCCTCTGCGATCACCTAGGCAATCAGAAGTGGAAGTTTCCCCCTTTCCCCATAGTCTTCTGAGACATGTGACAGGTCCCAGAAGACTACGGGACCATTCACAAAGTGCAGCGCTACTCGTGCAGTGAGCAGTGAAGCCGCAGTGAAGATGCCGGCGTTGGGAACACAGGGCAGCCGGGGACATCAGGGGATCGAGGGACAGGTGAGTGTCTGTTTTTTAAAAGGCAGCAAATAAAGTTTTTGTAGCTGCTGATTTTTATTTTTTTTTTTCAATTTACACTGCAATTCTGTTTTAAACTTGAATTTGAAAACAAGAATACGATTAGAAAATTCTTGAAATTAAAATTCTCGAATGAAAATCTATATGTGTATGGCCAGCTTTAAGCCCCATATACAGGTAGAGAATATCGGACGAACGATTGTCTTTTTTTTTTTCGCCTGCTAGTTTCACATCGAAAGTGAAAAGGTTACTAAAGATACGAAAATTCTCGTACGAACGAAAAGAATTTCAAAAGTGATGTCATGTATTTGTATTGTATATTTGGACGACTACTGTACTGAATAAACAAAAATCGTACTATCTGGTATCGTACGAGAAAATATTTGTGCTTGTCCCTTTGGATATTGTCACACACGAATTGTCGTGATCAGCTCTAGAAAGCTGTATACTAATGATCTGACTATTGGACAATTTTCATATCGTGTGTACGGGGCATTAAGCTGGCCATACACATGTAGATTTTTGGTCGAGAATATTTGTAAGAAAAGTTGTACGAAAATTCATTGCACATTCAATGAATGGACGAATCTCATTTGAAAATTGTCTTTTGCTTTTAGCATTCGATTTTTAAATTAATGTAATTTGTGAACAATCACCACATACACCGGCCAAAAATTCTTTTGATCGAGAAAAACATCAATTTAACCCCACTAATGGTTAGAAAATCAAACAATTATTCTTGAAATGAATATTCTCAGATCTACACGTATATGGCCAGCTTAATTTTTTTAATTCGGTCGAATTTTTTTTAATTCAGTTAAAATCTTTTTGATTTCAAACGACTTTTCAAATTTTGCTGAATCATATTCGAATTTGGTTGATCCAATTTTGAATATGAATTACTTTTTGAATTTGGTCAAAAAGTTTTCGAATTGAATTTGAATACGAATTACTGAAATGAATCCCGAAAATTAATTGAATGGATTTACCAAATCCAACTACAAGAAATTTGTTAGACTTTGAATCGAAACAAAGCACATTTTTTTGTTTTTCTCATGTCTTTTGTTTAGCACTGAAGATACATCACTTATATCCAGACTGAAGCAAAACAGAAATACCTCATTAATTGTCACTAATTAAAATAATGCAGCTATTTGTTGTTTAATGCTTTAACCGCTTTCTCACCGCTCTATAGGTATTCACGAACTGAGCTGTCAATCACCAGATTCCAGCCGGTGATTACTTGCCGGTACCCAGTGATCGCCGAGCACTACCGATGGAGGGAGAGAACTGTTAGTGAACAATACCGTTCTCTCCCCTGTCAGCTCCTGCACACTGCTTTTTATGGCTTTGCATAGCAGAGCCATACAAAGCAGTGTGCTTACAGTATAGCACACACACACAGCTTCCAGTTAAAACAGCACACAGCACACAGTTAACCCTTTGATCACCCCACATGATAACCCCTTCCTGCCTAGTGCCATTAGTACAGTGTCAGTGCTTTTTATTAGCACTGATCACTGTATTGGTGTCACTGGGGATGTCAGTGACACCGAGTCAGTTCCCCCCAGTGTCAGAATGCCCACTGCAGTCCCGCTATAAGTCGCTGATCACTGCCATTACTAGTAAACATTTTAAAAAAAATTACAGTATATATACCGCGATTTGGAAACACCATAACCTTCATGTAAACCAATTAATTTACATATATTGGGATTTTTTTTTTAGCAAAGACATGTAGCCTATATATTTATAGCCCAAAAAATAAAAAATGCACAGGTGATCAAATACCACAGAAAGAAAGCTCTATTTGTGGGAAAAAAGGACATAAATTTAATTTGGGTGCAGCATTGCATGACCGCGCAATTTTCAGTTAACCTCCCTAGCGGTCTGATTATGTCCATATTTCTGTACTCAAAGTGGTACATTTTTTTGCATGGAAATATGTCTTTTTTTTATTGTAGGCCTGTAATTTTTAGGAGTAACTGACTGAAATCTGTCCAAACAAGAGTCTAGTAAACATTTCGGGTATGTTAAAATTTGAAACACAAAATCATAAATTATAATTTAATAAATAATCATAAAAATAATAATATAATAATAATACATTTAATTCAATAATATAATTAAACCAAAAACACTGAAATTTGAAATATAGCGCCAAGTTCGCACATCACTGAGCAAAGTCGCAAAATCGTTTTCAGTGTCTGATGACGAATATTCCCACAAATCATTATCAATCAATTCTGCAAGTGGTTCTAATTTACTATCGCTGTTCTCTAGCTGGTCTAAAACCGCTTTTGACCTAAAGGGATGCTTTTTGGACGCCATGGAGGTTTCTCAGTTTCCAGGCAGAAAGAACAGTAAAAATGCAGGCAGGGCACAGGACAAAGCACTAGGGACAAAATGTATGTGAAAATGGTTTGATACAGTAATGTTTTACTATGTGATTTTAGTGAATTTAGTGAACGTCACTTTTAAAATTTTAAAATTTCCTGCCGTTCCGTCCCCCATACGTCCTGATGTCGCAGGGAACGGAACCCTGAAGACAGATGCTGGCATCGGCCGGAGGACATTGCTGGGGACACTGCAGGAGGGATATCGTGGGAGCGAAAAGAAAGGTAAGTGAAGAAGAGATCCCGGAGCAGTGCTGCAGGGTATTCCCGAGTGTAGCTCAGAGTTACCGCTTGTGGTGCTGAAACTTTACCCCGAGCTACACTCGGGAATACCGCCAGGGAGGTTAAAGTAATGCAGCACCATAACGAAAAAAATGGCCTGGTCAGGAAGGAAGGTAAATCCTCTGGAGGACAAGTGATTAAAATGATGTGATTTTCTTTTTTCTAAGCAAGCACCAGGGATGGTAAAGAGTGTCCCATGTGCTGGTGTCTGCTTTGTAACTTGAAATCTTACATTTTTCCCCTTGATACCTCTGAAGCTGTTAACTTCTATTCAGGGGCGGACTGACCATTTGGAAACTCGGGCACTGCCCGAGGTCAGTAGGGGGCCCCATGAGATGCCCCTGCTACCTTTTTCATAGGCTTTTTTGAGCTTGGGCAAGGACACAGGGGCCCCATGATCCCCTTTTGCACGGGGGCAGTATGAGTTGTCAGTCCTCCCCTGCTTCTATTGATGTGTAGGTTAATATGAGTGTCTTCACTTGTCACAGGCACTCGTCAAAAGTACCAACTAAGTCCACACTACTCCATTCATAAAAGTCATACTATAGTCTTCTGCAATTAAACTCACTCTATGAACGGAAGAGGCAAATCTTTTATTTACCCACTTGTCCTCTATTCAAAGCATTTTCCATTATAGTAACCAATAGTATGGCTTCTATGAATGCAACAGGAGGTTTGAAAGGGCAAGCATAGACCCCACTTTTGACAAGTGCTTGTGACAACTGAAGTCATTACGATTAAGCCCTGCAGCTCCGGAAGATCACAATCACTAAACTTCAGCTGTCACTTTAAGTTCCAGTGTGCCTTGCAAGCCTTTTCTCTAAAGTGTCATATACAGGCATGCTAGGACTTTTCTTTGCTGAGAATCACGCTTTAATATTATGATCAGAATTAAAACATATTTCTTTTCAGTCATGTAAATATTTAATATCGCATGTGATGTTTTAATATCAATTCACAGGAGTCACAGGAGTCAAATATGGTAGTTTTCAGTATGAGTCTCCCTGTATCAAGAAGAAAAAAAAATTGGCAGCTCTCCTGATGCTCAAAAAAACAAGGCATCCCTTTCAGTAACACAACCACCTGTTGAAAATTCAGTTTGCAGAGAATACTTAATCCTGTGCAGGGGATATAAAAAAAAAAGATGCATTTGTTTGCATATGATGAAAGGATGGAAGTAAGTGGAGTCACCTTGCTCCCTAAACTAAGGAAAAAGTCCCTTGCAAAGTGAAGAACCTAGTTGTGTTTAGTAAATCAACCCCTATGTCTCAGATCACAGTAGTATGTTATTTAACCACCTCCCGCCCACCATATAAGGAAATGACAGGCGCAATCTTGTTCTGGGAGGGCATCATATGACGTCCCCCCACTGTAACCACGCTTAGCACCCCCAGGGGCCACACAGCGTGGCGATCGGTGGTGCACTGTGTCCCTGGGACACAGCGGATCACCGATCAATGGAAAGAGCCGAAGACATCGACTCTGTCATGTGATCAGCTGTGTCCAATTACAGCTGATCGCATGTAAATAAGGAAATGCCGGTTATCGGTATTTCTCTCCCCACAAGCTGTCACGCTGACAGCTCGTGAGGAGAGAGACGGTAATCGGCATTCCTCGGAGGGACATGTACACTGATCATCAAGGTGCCCCGATGATCAGTGTAGCCCCATCAGTGCCACCTGTCAGTGTCCATCAATGCCACCTGTCAGTGCCCATCAGTGCCACATCAATGCCACATATCAGTGCCTACCAGAGTACATCAATGCCACATATCAATGCCCATCTGAGCTGCCTTTCAGCGCTACCTATCAGTGCTAGTCAGTGCCACCTATCAGTGCTGCCAGTCAGTGCCACCTATCAGTGCCAGTCAGTGCCGCCTATCAGTACCAGTCAGTGTCGCCTATCAGTGCCATATATGAGGGCTTCCTTTCAGTGCCCATCAGTGATGCCTGTCAATGCCCATCAGTGCCACCTACTAGTGCCTCCTCATCAGTGCCCATCAGTGCCACCTATTAGTGTCCATCAGTGCAGCCTATCAGTGCCCATCAGTACAGCCTATCAGTGCCCATCAGTGCAGCCTCATTAGCGCACATCAGTGAAGGAGAAAAATCACTTATTTACAAAATGTTGTAACAGAAACTAAGAAAAAACATTTCAGTTGTTTTTGGTTTATTTAGCAAAAAAATTAAAAACCCAGAGGTGATTAAATACCACCAAAAGAAAGCTCTATCTGTCTCAAACAAATGATAAAATTTCATATGGGTACAGTGTTGCATGACCGCACAATTGTCATTCAAAGTGAGACAGCACTGAAAGCTAAAAATTGGCCTGGACAGGAAGGGGGTATAAGTGCCCTGTAAGCAAGTAGTTAAAACATAGATAATGTGTGCTACATCACTTGCCAGGATTTTCCACTTGGACAAACAAGCTTATTTGCCAGTCATGCCATGACCCTTCATAAACATATCAGCAAACTAGTTTGGATTCTTAACCATAGTTTAAGAAAAACTGCTTTACACCATCAGGATGGAGGTCCCATTCCAAAATCATACAGTACTGACAAGAAACTGCTTTACCCTCCCATTTCTAGCAGATGTGGCTAATGAAATGACTAAATTCACATTGGCTAGCAAAAAGCATTCAGGCAGTTCTGGACTTTCAGCATACTTTGAAAAGCTAATGTTATGGGTAAAACTGGTGATAAAGTAATAAAGGTATGACAAAAATGTCCAAATGTCAAACTGATAGTTAACATCTGTTTATCCAAAAGTAATATTTTGGTTATAATGGACTGGTGGACTGAGTCAGCACCTGACTTCTTATATGGAGATAGGAAATGATCAGAGTGTGCCAGACCAAAGTATTGAAGTAAAAAAAAAAAATCTGCTAAAAAAATGTAAGGGAAATTTGCATAAATGATCAACTTATGTTTGGGGTTACCACAACTATCAGCTACTGATGAGTTTGCCTGAAGGCTGCCTGTCTTGAAATGGTTCTAATGACAGAAGGTTTTTTTTAATGCAGTCTACATGTGGCTCCCACCCCAGCCCCTCTCAATACGTTCCTGTGCCTAATCTCGATCCAGCAATGTGCACAACAGCAGTGGCTCTGAGAGCTTTCTCTTCACTGGACAGAAAAGCAGTGAGAGCCAATTTCAATTATAGCCAATGAGGAGAGGGCATGGGGCAGGGCAGAGCTCTATATGTGTTCTATATGTCAATGGACACACAGGGCTGGCTATGGTGTGGCACGCACACACATGCACAAAAGTGGCTTGTTATGGGGGCACTCGAAAGGAGAAGGGGTCAGGGGTGCCAGCAGAGGATCCAAGAAGAGGAAGATCAGGGCTAATCTGTGCAAAACCATTGTACACAGCAGGCAAGTTTGACAGGTTTATTATTTTTGAAAAATAACATGTTGCCTTTAGAATCACTTTAACCACTTGCCGTCTGGCCGCTGTATAAACGGCTGGATGGTGGCAGTCCAGGGGTGGGTTGCCATTCATAAATGGTGCCCACCATTTTGGACTGTGCTCGCTCCCTGAGAGCGAGCAGCACCGCGATCCGGTGCCCGCTGTGTCCTCCGGACACAGTGGAACACCGATCGTCGTATGGGACCTCTGTGTGAGGTCCCGATCTTGTGATCACTGATTGGCCAATCAGTGATCACATGCAGAGTAGAAAGCAAAATGTCACTTCTGACATCATTGCTTACTACGTGTGAAATTTGGGAATGATCACAGAGATCACCTGGTACAAGGCTATTCACAACAGCCTTGTACCATGTGACAAGCTGTGACCAATCACAGCTCACACAGTAGTTCTCAATGGCTGCAGGAATGCAGCCAGAGAGAAGGAGAAATGATTGCTTTTACAGCCTTTATGGGTGTAAAAGCAATCAGTGTAAAAAAAAAAAATAATCTTCATCACCCCCCCACCATGGTGACACTGTACCACTAGGGTGACAGTCTGTAGAAAAAAAACATAAATAATAATATAAAAAAAATAAAATAAAAATTTTTAAAAAAAGTTTTAAAAATTATAATTTTTGGTATAAACTAATTTGGGTTGATTTTTTTTTTTACTAAAAAGATTAAAAAAAATTTGCCCAAGATTTATGAGATATTATTTATTTGCAAAATTGTATAAGAAAAACAATTTTTTTTCAACATGTTTGTACTTTTTCATTTATATAGCAAAAAAAAAAATAAAAATCTCAGTGGTGTATAAATACCACCAAAATAATGTTTTATCTGTCTCAAAAAAATGCTAAAACATTCATATGGGTACAGTGTTGCATGACTGCGCAATTGTCATTCAAAGTGTGATAGCACTGAAAGCTGAAAATTGGCCTGGACAGGAAGGGGGTAAAAGGGTCTTGAAGTGGTTAAATAATGGACACAACTGGAAGAATAGGATCTTCAACATAATGGCAACAGCAGGTCTGACCTGTAGAGTTCCTGAGAAATATAAGAAACTGGCTGGTGGGCTGGAAATTATGGGAACTAAACTTTTTACATCTGGTTCTGCCCTGTGACTGTAAGGGAAATGAGACAAGACACTGAATACACACAAAAACATTTCAAATCCCTGTATCAGTGGATAGCAGGTAGAGACAACTACAAGTGCATGTGTGTTGTTCTTTTTTATATGCAATGTTCTTTAAGGTATTATGTAGGTTACACTTTGGACATGAATAAATACTGTTTGTTGACTGTCTCAATGTATGTACAGTAAATGTTGGCTTATAATGAATACAATATAATTGTTTAACACTATTCACATCTCAATCATGTAAAAAAAGAAATTGTATTAGTATCAAGTTGTGGTATGAAGTATAGATTATTATTATTATACAGGATTTATATAGCGCCGAAAGTTTGCGCAGCGCTTTACAAAATGAAGGTAGACATTACAGTTACAATACAATTTGGTACAAGAGGAAACAGAGGACCCTGCTTGTTAGATCTTACAATATAGGAGGAAGGGTTGAGTGATACAGAAGGTAATAGCTGTGGGGGAATGGGCTGATGGAGGAAATAAATGGCGGTTTACTAGGTAGAAGCAGGTTAGGCCTCTTTAAAGAGAAAGGTTTTCAGGGATCGTCTAAAGGTGGATAGATTAGGAGACAGCTGGACAGATTGGGGTAGGGAGTTTCATAGGATGGGAGAAGCTCAGGAGAAGTCCTGGAGGCAAGCATGGGGAGGAGGTGACATGGTAACTAGAAAGCAGAAGGTCTTGGGAGGACACAGTGTCTTATAATAAGTGAAATAGTACATACTATATGTTTTGGCAACTTCAGTCTATTTTTCTACAATAGTGTTTGTATACTATATGGCCCATTGTGGACATCTGATCATCACACCTAAATGAGTTTGTTGGACATCCTTTTCCAAAACCATGGACATTAATAAGGATATGTCCCTCTTTTGCAGCTATAACAACCCTCACTCTTTTTTTGAAGGCCTTAAAAAAAGTGTTTTTGTTGGAATTTATACCTATTCAGCAAAAAGAGTATTTATGAGGTCAGGTACAGATGTTTGATAAAAAGGCTGGGCTCACTATCAACGTTCCAATTCTTTCTAAACGTGATTGTCCCTGATTGAGGTCAGGGCTCTGTGCAGGCCATAGAAGTTCTCATAAATGTTTTAATCAATCAAACTTTGTACACAAAGGCACAGTCATACTGAAACATAAAAAGGGCCTTTGCTAAATTGTTATAAGAAGGTTGAAAGGACACAGATGTTTAAAAGTCTTTGTATGATGTCGAATTAACACTACCCTTCACTGGAAGCACATGAATAATTTGGAGGGGTTTCCACATATTTTTGGTTTTATAGTGTATGTCTGTGTTATAACTGGCATTGAACTATGTTATAGATGTCATGATCTGTATTCAAGTTTACCATTTTTGTAAAGTGAAAGTTTTAGGTACTTTTTTGTGTTTTAAAATATTTTAGGGAAACATAGAACCTTAATCTGGGTTGGAAAGTATTTCCCTTACCACTCGTTCTAGTGACAGTGTTCCAAGAGAACAGAAGCAAGGCCATCTATTCAATAGGGCTCAGAAAAAGAATATTTTAATTTTCTTAGTAGAACGTAGAGGGGTTAAGTTAGGTTAATTAGGTTTTTTTAAAGTGGTTGTAAAGGTTGAAGGTTGTTTACCTTCATGCATTCTATACATGAAGGTAAAAACATTCAGAGTGCAGCTCCCCCCGAGCCCTATCCCACTCCAGCGAAGTGCACAAGAGCATCAGCTCTTCTCTTCTTGGGCTAACTCAAGAAGAGGAGGATTGGACTGCTCTGTGCAAACCTTTGCACAGAGCAGGTAAGTGTAACATGTTTGTTATTTTGAAGAAATAAAATTAGCTTTTATAAGCACTTTAATGTTTTTAATGTTTTTTGTGTCCCTATTGAAGAAACTCCTGCCACCTGCCATGGAAATAATATTTTTAGGGTGATCATATGTACCCATTTCCTATATATACTGTACATATTCTGTGATTCCAGCTTAGTAGCCAAGCTCACTATTTGTATTTGATTGCTCCATGTATCTCAGTGAACATCTATGGCTAGGACTCTATGAATAGTCTTTCACTGAACACAAGGCTCTCTAGGTTGTTTCTAGAGGCCATTGTTCAGCCGGGATACTGACTGCTCTTCTCTCACTTACATGAGTGGACTGGAGTTGAATCTAGGTAAAAATCAACACGTTAAGCTGGCCATAAATGGATAGCATTTTGAACAAAACTTCTTAGGGAAATTCGTATGGAAATTCTCAGAACATCCTAATGCCATTCTAAAGATTTTATTTGCTTTTAACATTTGATTTTGGAATGAATGGACTTTATTGAACAAAAACCACATGCACTGCTAGAAATTCATTGGCCTGAGAAAATTTTTTTATCCT